TTTTTAAGTGCGAATATACCACTGAATAAGTTATCGCAACCAACTTTTCATAAATTTCTAGAAAAATATATTAATAAATCGATACCTGACCAATCAACATTAAGAAAAACATATGTACACGAATGTTACGAAGACACTTTATGTGAAATCAGAACGTATGCATCAAATAAAACAATTTAGATTTCAATTGACGAGACAACTGATACAATGGGTAGATATATTGAATAGCATCAACTTAATGCAAATATAAATTCAAATTCAATCAATATTTATTTTTTTAATAAATAAACACTTTTTTTTACTAATGTTTAACATTGTGTAACTAATATAAATATAAATATCAAAATTAAATTAAAAACCATTTTAAATTAATTTTATACTATCATTTTTAGCATTTTATATTCCTTTTTTTTTCATTTTAAGTGCATTTTTTTCATTTTAAGTGCATATTTTATTGCATTTTTTTTGACATTTTTAATGCATTTTTGAAGGGTTTTTAGTGCATTAAATTCACAGCCCTGATTATAAGACACTTATTTTTGATTTTGTGTGAGTAATAATAATTGAGTAAAAATACTGAAATAAGAAAATATTTCCAAAGCCAGTAGCGCAAAAATATTGTTGCCAACAGCGACAACATCTTAAATACAGCCCCTGATTGTAAGTATTTTTCTTTGATTAAACCATTAAACCACTGGTACAGAAGTTTTATAACCTATTCATGATACGGATTCCGGATGGCCATTTAGTATGCTTCTAAGGTAACATGTTATTTTCAATTGTTAATGTTAGAACCTCTGCTTCCGGTTGCTGTAGTAAGACCACAGTCCTACACTGTAGTTCTAGGCATTCAAAAAGGCACAGAAATTATAAGAGATAATCTTGGGTTCATGTATTATAAGAATAAAGTAACTATAAAGTTAAAGTTATAAAGTTAAATTATAAAGTTAAAGTATTAACTATAAAATGTATTATTAAACAAAAGTATATTAAATTATAAACATACATTTTAGTTACTTGTCATGTTACGAAAAAAAATTGGAAGAACAGTGCCATGCAACTGCTCATATATTATCTCCGGACCGCAACGATGATAGGTTGACACTGTCAAAGCGCCATCGTCATGGTGTCAGAGAGTTCAACCTCAATGTTCCACTGCTTCGACAGGAGATAACTGAGAGAGCTTTAGAAAAAACAATAAACTCATATACTCCACGTGGAATTTATATGCAAGCAATTGCAAAGTTAGTACCTACGACCTACCTATAAACTAGTTTTTTGCTTATTTTGTAAGTTTTTTTTTGTACAGTTTTTACAAAAGGTATGCAACTATGCATAGGTGATGGTTAGTTTTGATATCTTTATTTGCTTGTTTTTGATATGATGTATGAATTAGCTTTCCAGAGGCTGCAGAGAACTATACATTTGTACAGAGTGTAGAGAGGATGCGGCGTTTAAGACGTACATTTTTCCTTCAGACACCATGAAACATGGTCAACTTGCACGATTTGTTGACGGCTGCAGATAATGAATATTTTGCAATGACACTACAGAATCCTCCTAACAGGTTAAAAGATATTAATTATTTTCATTTATTAAACAAAAAACATAAGAAAAGAATTAAAACAAACCATTTTAATAGGTTTTATCAAGGTCCATTGCTGGTAGAGGGAACCGTGAGTGGAGTCATTTTTTGTAATGTAGCCAATATAAATGCAATTGCACCAGATTTGAAAAATGTTGGTCACAGTAAATCAATAATGTATATGAATGTTATTTAATGAATTATTATTATGGATTTTTAGGTCCGAGTAGCAGGATGCGATGGCACATTTAAGACTGTACCAAAATTTTTAGAAAATGACGCCTATCTACGTAACTATTCCATAAAGATACTTATAAAATTGTTCTAATTTATTTGGAAAAATTCAGTGCTGCTCCAATTCATCATAATAATTTATCTAAGATGATGGATGGTTAATATTAGTATTATGATAATGTAATTTTCCATTGCGTTTGGTCAATTGTAGCCAAAAATTCATAGAATACAATATATATTCCGCTCCAATTCAAATACATTTTTGATACCACATTTATTTATTATATTCATTATATAAGTTCTTTACATAATACTTATATTAATTCATTTGTTTTTTTGTTTGTTACAGTCAACAAATAAGAGCTTAGTTTTGGATAAACTAAGTAAAGAATATGTTACATTAACTAACATTGATAACTCAACTTTGATTCAACTCATACATCTTCTATGGACCATCACAAGTTTTTCTTTTCACCCTTTTAACCTAATGGGTAATTTTTGTATATTTAATAGTTATTAATGTCTTATATACTTAAGTACAGATACAGATATGATTAATATTCTAAATTTTAAACACAATTTATTTAAAAGATATAATTTAAATTCATATTTTTTTTTTTTTTTTTTTTTGAAACACTTCTTACACGTTCATTTGTGTACCTATGGTTAAAATTACTAGTTAATTTAATTTATTTTTGTTTAATCACAATGTAAAATACAATGATTTAAAAAAAACTAAACAAATAAAAATAATGTTTTAATTAAATTAGTAAACATGTACATTATACATACTTAAATTAATTTATGGACTTATGCAAAGTCAAGACGTATTTATTATTTAACGTCTTAAACTATACCTTATATGACACATAAATTTACTTTAATGCATATGTGCATAAGACATACAAGTGTTAAGAATAATTATTATAAAATAGTTAGGTAGTTATTTAAATAATTTGGAATTGTCCAAACTAATTGGTAACCTGGCTGATAATTTAAAAAAATAATGGATGAACTTGTTTTTAACTGAGTTAAATTTGTAATTTTTTAAAAACTAACTTTAAATTGCCAATGAGCAACTCCACTTAAAGGCAATCTGTTCATAGCGTCATAGCTATACACAATCTAAAACGTTATGTATGTTACTTTATCTACTGCAATAAAGAATCTTACCACCGAATAATAAACAATATATTGAGTCTATTCTGCCGTGCTAAGCCAAAAGAGGGTATCTCCAATTTTGGTCAAAATGATTTTATTGGGTAAATGGGTTTATATAGTGATATTTTATCGATTTCAGAAGCCAAAATGTCGTATATCCACTTTTTTCTTGTCTTAAACATATGTTCAAATTAGTAACTTTAAGGGTATGTCCATAAATATTCACAAAACAGAAGCATTTTCACAGTAAATCCTAATAATTAGCAAAAATAGGGTATGTGACATGAAAATTATTGGATTTACGTGAAAAAAGCTTATTTTTACATTGCTATTGAAAACAGTATCTCCAATCTCCATAATATTACCAGGCATTTTGCATCTGGTATAATGATAAGTATTAAATTATAATTTATAATGATAGGTACATCAATCCTAAAATTACAATATATAGTTACAAGATATAACTACAACATATTATGTAGGTAACACTATATTTGAGTAATATTTTATAATATTTATATTTGGTGCAGTTTAATACCAGAAATAGAAATACAATATTATTATGTGATAAGGTACGTAGTTTTTCGGTTTTTATGCTTGTTCGTTTATCGATGGAATTTGTCTAGTTCTTCAAACTCATATTGTTTAAATATATTATTATAATCTAACGACAATCCTCAAGTATACATAAAATGAATAGTCGTACAAGGGAAATGTTGAATATGGCCACAGAGTACAGAGTTCCAACTAAAAATTTAAGTATCTATTTAATTTACTCAATTCATGAATTAATATATTAAGTAGGTACCTATTAGCATTAACAATATTATGCGTTGTAGAGTGCAGTTTATGCATATGCAAATCATAAAGTTATGGTATTAGACCAATATTGTCTACAAAATTTACCTCAAAACAATTCTATAATTGACCAAAATAATATATTAAATGAAGTAGTACTACAGGAGAAGCAAAATATATTATTAGAAGTAGAAAAAAAGAAGCAAAATGATGAATTAATACCTGCTTCATATTCCATAAGAAATGAGGTGATTAATTAATCTTTCTTAATTTTAGATTTTACAGGTTTTCCTATTTACATTTAAACATTTTCCATATATTTACCATTTTTAACTACCTATGTATAAAATATGTTTTTTTCATCTATCATGATAATTCATACAATTCTGGAAGTGACAAATATGAAAATCAAATCTTACCTCAAAATAATTATGTAGTTGACCAAAATATATCATATGAAGTAGAACTGGAGAATCAAAATATATTATTTGAAGTAGAACAAGAGAACCAAAATGATGTATTATTACATGCTTCATATTCCAAAAGAGATAAGGTAATTAACTAACATTTCTTAATTTTAGATTTTACAAATTTTCCATACATTTAATATTTCAAGTATGTATAAACATTTTTTTTCTTTCACAGAATAGTGCCATCGATGATGATATTTCATATATTTCTGGAAGTGACAAATATGAGAATCAAAACTTAACTCAAAATAACTATGTACTTGACCAAAATATATCATATGAAGTAGAACTGGAGACTCAAAATATATTATTCGAAGTAGAACAAGAGAACCAAAATGATGTATTATTACCTGCTTAATATTCCATACATTTAATACTTTAAGTATGTATATAAACATTTTTTTTCTTTCACAGAATAGTGCCATTGATGATGATAATTCATGTATTTCTGGGAGTGACGAATATGAAATTCAATTTGGTAATAACAATAGAAATGAGTACAACAATTTAACACAGAATAGTATCATTGATCATATTTCTGAAAGTGAGGATGATGAAGATAATTTGGGTAGTAGCAATGAAAATGAGCACAACGATTTAACAAAAAAAGGGACAAAAAGGAAACGCAATAGACATCTGACCAGTGTCAGAAAACGAAATCAAATTAAATTTCAGTAAAAAGTTGAGAAACACAATTTAAAACCCCCCTGTATTTCATGTAAAAAAAAAATTGTATTACACTGATACCTGAAATGTTAAGACTTGAAATTAATAAACAGTTTTGGAGTGTGTCCAAAGATGAACAAAGGATGTATGTAATTAATTCGGTTGAACGAAGAGATGTTAAACGTAGAAGAGGACATGATGAAATAAGAAAAAAATGGTCTTTTTATTATACCCTTACAAATTTGGATGGTATTAAAGTATATGTCTGTAAATTATTTTACCTTGCAACATTGGGATTTTCGTCAAAAAATGATTATTTTATTCAAAATATATGCTCAAATATGACTGAAAAAAGTGCAATTGTGTCTCCTTTAAATAAAATAACTAGAACTGCATGGAACAAATGTGATTTAGAACCGATAAAAGAATACATTAATTCATTCAACCCAACAGTGGCTCATTATAGGAGAGAACATGCTCCCAACAGGAAATACTTGCCAAATGAAATCAATGCGACCTACATGTATTCTGATTTTAAAGAAAAAAATCCAGCCATTAAATTTTCATACGACGTCTATAGAAAAACATAAAGGGAAATGAATATATCTTTTACCAAATTAGGCCATGAGGAGTGTGAACTTTGTGAGTTATTTGATCAACATGATTCAACACACACAAAACAAACATTAAATGAACATAATATTTGTGATGTTTGCAAAAAATACAATTTGCACTTGGAAAAATATATAAATGCTCGAGCTAAGTATGAGAGCCATGCCGTACAAAAAAAGAAAGGTAATTAAAACTTAGATAAAATCCATTAAAATTGTATTAATTATATAGCTAAATGTATTTTTAATATTTTCACAGACGATGAAATCTATGTATCAGCTGACTTGCAAAAAGTTATTATGTTACCTAGAATGGAAAGCTTTAAGGCAGCTATTTTTACCAAAAGGGTCATTGCTTTCAATGAAAGTTTTGTACCGATTGGCCCCAAAGGATGTATTAAGCCATTAGCGATAATATGGCACGAGGGTTACAAGGAAGGAAACAAGAAGATTTAACAAGTTGTTTTCATGCATTTTTTTTACATTTCAAGGACATGAAAAAAATAACGATTTGGCAGGATAACTGTTCAGCTCAAAACAAAAATTGGTGCTTTCTTACATTCTTGGTTCAAATAATTAATTCTCAAGATATCCAGGCTCTAGAAATAAGTTTATTTTATTTCCAGCCCGGGCATAGTTTTATGTCTGCCGACCATTTTCATCACCAGGTTGAGTTGGCTATGAAAAAAATGGGAAAAATATATGATTATTCTGATTTTGAAAAATGCATCAAATCAGCTAACAAAGATTTTGTTGATGCCAAAGTTATGAGAGTAGAAGACTTTTTTGATTTCAAATCAGAATGTTCAGTATATAAATTGAACAAAAAATTAGTTAGACCTATGTTAAATGACATAGTTCATATTAAAGCCGAAAGAGAATTAGGGTCAAGTGGGGTAAATGTGATTAGGGGTAATTGTAAATGCTGTTTGTTATCAATCATTACGAGACTGATACTATCAAAATGTTAATGGAATATGTTTAATTTGTCGTCTTTATTAATCAGCAACGTCTTTGACATTTTTAATTTGAGGTTATGTCCATTAAATTTTATTTGAAAAAAAACATGTTTTGAAAAGTGAATTTCAGTTTGATAAAATCGACAAAATTGAAAAAAAACGCACTTAAAATGTAAGTATAATTTTCATTTTTAGACTTAAAGATAATTAAGATAATTAATATTATAGGCAACTACTTTATTGCTATGTATGATTCACGTTTAAACATATTTATGATATTTCCCAATTGCCCCATATTTATTTAGTATGGGGTAAATGTGAATTTGATTTTGGGGTAATAATGAATACCGTAGGTACAAACTTAAAACTACAAAATAACTGTTTTTTATTTTAAATAAAATAAAATAATTACTTTTAAGGGTCCGAAACTACAAGAAAAAAAAGTATGGACCTTCATATACTTTGGACGACATCAACAAAGCAGTTGAAGAAAAACTTAAAGGGCATAAAACGTACAAAGTTATATCTGAAGAATTTGGTGTTCCTCAATCAGTTATCTTTAATAGAATTAAAGGTAGATCTACCTCTATGCTGTGCACTAAATCTGGACGCCGTCATGTCCTTGATTCCAACATTGAAAGTGTGTTGGTCAATTGTATTGTTGCTCGGGCACAGATGGGGTACCCATGTGATAAGGAGGAACTTCAATGTCTAGTCCAAGAATATATAGTGGCAAATGGTATTCAAAATCCATTTAATAACAATAAGCCTGGTAACGATTGGTACTATAGTTTCATGAAAAGAAATCCAAAATTAAGTTTCAAGAAACCAGAACAACTGCAAAAATTGCGAAAAGATGCTAGAAAGCCTGAAATCATTTACCATTTTTATCCAAATTTGGAGAATATTTGTCAGGAAAAATGATTGATATCTCAGTTTGTGTTCAATGCCAATGAAAGTGGTTTTCGTACTGACCCATCTAGGCTAAAAGCAATAGGTGAAAAGGGAAAGGCCTTAAGCAGAGTAACTGGTGGTAGTGGTCGAGAATCGATAAGTGTTCTTGCGTGTATATCTGCTGATGGATTATATTTGCCAACACTAATCATTTTTAAAGGAATGGCAGTTCAAGCTCGTTGGACATCTGAAAAATCTTTTCCAGGTTGGTGATTAAATAACTAAATTCATAAAATTTTAAAATAAATTCTCAAATAATAAATAAATGTTGTAATTTTAGGAACACTTTATGCAGTGTCAAAGAATGGCTGGATGGAGGAGCCTGTTTTTTACAATTGGTTTGAAAATGCATTTGTGCCATTTGTCATTAAGAAAAGGAAAGATTTGGGTACAAATAGCAATGCTCTATTGCTATATGATGGACATTGTTCTCATATTAGTATGAGAATAATTGAATTGGCAATGAAAAATAATATTACTTTATTTAAGTTCCCTAGTCACTTGACAGATCGATTGCAACCATTGGACAAGTGTGTATTTGGACCATTAAAATCGGTATGGGATAAAGAGCTTATTCATTTTGAAAAGACTATGATTGGAAAGGGTCCAGGCAGATTAACAAAAGCAATGTTCTCAGAGCTTCTTGGTAAAGCATGGTCAGTTGGTATGAAAAGTGAAAACATTATTTCTGGATTCAGAACAACCGGTGTGTTTCCTGTTGATAAAAATAAATTTCCATTGACTGAATTTGATCCAAATGAACTAAATTACTATTTAAGAATTGAAGCTGAGAAGCAGAATAAAATCTTGCACTCTGCTATTGAACCTAGTTCATCAACCTCCCGAAATATTTTAATTGAGCCAAATGAACACATTGAATTAAGTGCATCAAATGACTCCATAACGCAATGTGAATCAACTTCATTAAATGAAATAATTATTTCAGATAATATAGATTCCTCGCCTTTGCCTCCCCACACACCATTATCAGATGGTAACCATAACATTAATAACCTATTAAGTGATGAAACTACTTCTAGCCCAACTGATATAATAGGTATTTTTACTAAACACTTAGAACAACTGAAGGCAATGACTTCTTCACCACGTGAGTCAAAAGATCCCATCCCTAGATTAAAGACAGCAAGGTATGGTGAAGTGTTAACTAATGAAACTGTATTAATGCGTTTAAAAGAAGCAACTGAAAAACATTCAAAGAAAAAACTCTAGGAGCAAAAAGAGGTAGGCCCAGTTTAAAAAAAAAACTATTTGAAGATGAAGAAAAAACAAATACAGAATATTTACAAATATGGCTCTGCAGTTTATAAAATGTATTCTTAACCAGAACCAACCTATTTTTAACGACTAGCCCAACTGCCAAAAACAAGTTTTATGTGAAGTTTTAACCACAGGTCAGTTAAGAAATTATAAATTAATTCTAATAATATTTTGTATAATATTTACCCTTCACTACAGAGAACAAAGTTACTTGTTAAAGATCTGATAAACGTTGAAGTACTTTTAGTGGTCTTACAAAAAATTTTAAATAATTAATATACCTTTTTTACAATAAACAATTTATCCATTTAATTCCTAACAAATTTTTCATAAAATGTTGATGTAATAATTTTGTTTTGTTCTTCTTCCTAATTCTAAATCATCATAACAACATTATATTCCTTTCCTTCTATAATCCATTTCTTTCTTGTTATACCTTATGGAAGATCAAAAAGAGATGGCATTTATTGATGTGAACAGTATACAACATTGTGTAATTACTGTACTGAGTGAAAACGAGATTTTAATAATGAATTAAGACCAAGTTCAAATTTAATCAATGAATAAGTTATAAATCATAAAAAAAAATATTTAACATTTATTCCATCGCTAGTTTTAATCATTTTAAAATGTACCGTTTTAAAAAAGTCGTAACTCAATTAAAAATAATAATATCAAAAAAGCCTGAGTGGGGCTCTAGATAATAATCTTACATTTCAATTTTATAACAGGTAAATTTACTAATATCAAAACTAACAATACACTATTGAATATGGTGAACAAAATTTGTTATGTTGCGTGTGTGTAAGACAACACAAGCGGATGTGATGTCCTCTTAAATAATAAGAATTTAGCATGTAAGTAATTTTATTGTGTGTACGACATCCATCACCATCATTCTTTGCAATGTACAAACCAGTCAGTCGATTACAAGTCATATTATAACTAATAATACATTAAAAGGATGTTACGCAGGCATTTGTTATCTCTGTATTACCAACGTACAACATACCAAATTGTACATCAAAAGGATGTTACGCAGGCATTTGTTATCTCTGTATTACTAACGTACAACATACCAAATTGTACGTTCACAATAATACATTTTACTCTGTATTTTTTTAATTATTTTGTTAATTTTTTATTTTTTTCCCATTTTGGGTTCTGGAAATGTTGGTACCTATATCATATTTCTTTTGTTTAAGTTCTTAATCCTAATCTGAAATAATAACAAAATGTATTCCTTTTCTCCTTTTCTCCATTTCTTTCTTGTTATACTTAATAGAAGGTCGTAATGAAATGGCTTATATCGATGCTGGCAGCCTAACATCTTGTGGTATTGCTTTACCTAACCCAAACAAGATATTAATTGCTAATAAGGAACACAGAGCAAGTTTATTTGCAAATACTATAGATGAAAGTAAGTTATAAATTACTAAAAAAATTATTTAACAATTATTTCATCACAATATTTTATTTTTACACATTCAAAAGACAATTTAGCCACTAGGTACAGACCTTGCTGAATCTATAGACAAGCATATTTTATGACTTGGCTTTCATTTAGTATTGGTAGATATATTTTTAAATTATGTTGCCTGTGGAAAATTATTTAATGCCAGTGGATTTATTATGTTTTGAACTCCGTTAAATATAAACTACACACATTATTAACAGTCATTTTGGTGGTTTGTACCAGATATAAAATACCAATCTAAAATCATATCAAAAAATTATAATAACAAATGTCTATGTGAGCCTCTGTTTAAAATGTGAATTTCTGAAATT